GTATGGTAATTAGACGTTTCTAAAGGTTACAGAGAGCAAATTTATTAGATTGGTATAGGTATAGGGATTAAAGCGTTCGAATAGTGTACTGGGATGTGGCAGGAAGCAAGTTGGACGTCTCGACTGGGCGCCTACATTCATCCACACGAGTGCGTCGACGTTCTTATGAATTCGTCAGTGAGAGGAAAAAATACATGAGACGAACTAGAGTCTGAAGATAATAATATCTAGTCCATGGAATGCTGGCTATCTGTTTCATCTGAGGAGTCCTCTGGTCGCCCAGATGAGTCCCACCTGAGACCAGCTGATGCCATTTTAGAGAAAACAGAGGAAGAGGAGGACCAGTGTAAAGGACGAAGTAGCTGCCCAAATGGTCCTCCAGTAGATGGAGAAATGTGGTTCCGTGTATCTGTTAGGAAGGGCTGTGAAATGGGCTGCGTGTGTGAAGAGTTCTCAGCCTCCCAAGGCAGCTTCATTCTAGATACTTCTGACTTGAGCGCACTCCAATCAAAGTTATCTTGTGACAATGATAGCGCTGAAAGTCCCCGAGAGAGTGCAATGGGACCCGCGAGTTGAACATCGCCCTTATATACGACCCTAGAGAGACAACTGGTGAGCTTCGTTTCTTTAGAATACCACAACTTACAGTCCTGCTCTACCCAAAAGAGAAGAGTTGTCCCAATGAATCAGATTAGAGGCATCCTACCCAGCATTAATAGGATATGGCAAATATGAAAGGCAAACTTACTTGGGAAAGGGTTAATACGGATCCCGATTTCAAGTTCGATTGAAAGGGTGAAGTGTCCCCTACGAGCCTCTCGGGTTCGAGATTAGTTAGCCCAGCGATCATTTCGACGAGCCTCAACTTCTCAGCGTGGGGGTTACGAAGGATACGGTCTAGATGTGTATCTATGATGCGAACGGCTTGTCCTGAGGCATCAAATGCTCCAGAGGACAAACTTCCTTTGATACGAGATGTAGCAGTGGACGGTTCGTCCTCATCTGACGTCACACCTGAAACGATACATTGAACTTCTCTAAACCC